AATTAATGGGACACTTAATAGGATTTTGACATAACTATTGATAGTCCTAGGTGACAAATGAGTTCTCAAACAATTCTTGAAGAGGAATGGAGGTATTAGAAGATTTATCATTCATTTGAAAGTTAAGAAGTATAGCTTGCGATTTGAAGTCTTTTCATGTCAACTTTGACCACAAATAACTTTATTTGTGATATATAATTTTTGATGAAACTTATAACAACGAAAATACACTTAAAAAACAATCTATTCATATATCATGCATAAAAAATTATATAACAAAAAGTAAATTATTTAAGATCAAAGTTGAACAAAAGAGACTTAAAAAGTCAAACGTGGACAATAATTTTGGCATGAAGGGAGTATAATTTATTAACGGGGACGTCCTTAAATGATTTAAGGATATGATTTTGTGAATGACTTTTAAATATGAAGTTTATTTTAAGCATATTGATATGCTTTGACATATATTTTAATCAACCAACATGCTTTGAGTTATAGATGGACAAATTTGTTATATTTGATATATATTTGGAATATTCGATATGTTGAAGTTATATTGGGTTCATATACCCTTTCAATTTATATTGTGGGTTCATATACCCTTTAATCGGATATGTTCATGAATTATTTAGATCTTTATATCTTGAGTATAATTATGTATTATATGGGTTATGGGTTGAGAATTTAGAGATCTATGTTCCAAAGTTAATTAGGGTTTGTAAAAGTGAAAGATTTATAAACTTTGAATTTTGGAAGAAAACTTTATGTGATAACAATCCTATTATCGAACATGCTTAGCTAGATACCGAAGTAATCTTATACACTAACCACTAACAAGGTGGTCTATTGGTATAACTTTATATGAAATAGTCCAAAATGAATCGAACATGGTTCGAATCCCATGATCTTCATATCGATATATGGAGTTTTATTACTAATAGATTCCGAGCAATCCAATAGAAAGGTAGATGATTATGGTTGTCCATTTTATGATGTATTACATTTTCAATACAATGTTTGCACTTGTAAATTTTGAAGCTTCCATATCTAGCTTCAGATGATGTTGATTTGGTAAGTATATTTTCAAATTCATGAAGTTTACTATACCAATTTGGATTTCAACTTTTTTCACATATTTGAACATGTATTTATAATCATTAACATTAGAATACTCATTGGTTGAGACTGCTACTTTGGACTCGAGGACGTTGACTTTAGTTGTCCATGACAACTTGGTTTACAAGTTTTCGGTGATAGTTCACCAAAGTGAACGTAAATACTCAACTTGCCACATGTATCCCCTAGCAAGAAAACAATAGAGATTATGAGAACTTATTTTTTGCATCTAGTTAGAGAATTTGAGTAGTGGAAATGTTGAAAATGAAAGAAGCTAATATCAAGACCTTTGTGTTGGAGTATCATAGGCGTATGAGACAGATTATATCGACACATGTGACTTGTATTCATGTATAGACGTTTTGCATCTTTATTTTGTATAAAACATAAAGTTTGGTACATATTGCAACATATGATGCATTAATTAACAGATAACTACATGATAACTAATTTTTTTTACATAATTCCGAACGTTGTAATGGATCAAATGTTTTTTTTTTCTCCATCAATAAATCCTTGCATAATTTTAATATCTTTTTTTAGAGTAAATTACACGAATGGTCCTTATGGTTTGAGGTAATTTGTGTGCTTGGTCCCTAATTTATTTTTTTAACTCGGAAAGTCCCTACTTTTTGTGAGATAAATAAGGTAAGGTGAGGGGGTTAGGATTGGGGTATGTTTATTTAAATATTTTAAAAAATCAAGGACAAAATAGTTTTTTTAGATAAGACAATAATCAAGCAAACAAACAGTAGTGACCTTTCAAATTAAAAAAATAATAATAATAAGTTATGAACCAAACGTTCAAATTACCTTAAACCATAGGAACTATTCGTGTAATTTACTCTTTTTTTTTAATATAGTTCAATTTTGGAGAATTTCAAAACTATCCATCCAATATCAACTTTTCCACAAGTTTTATTTATTTCTAAACAACCTTTTTTTATCTCTACTACCAGAATATCTCTATGTGCCATAATTTCTAAATGAGAAATTAAATATTCTTCTATTTTTCTTCTTACATATCCTCCTATCCATTTGAAATGATGACAAATGTATTAAATTAATGATAATATTATTCAAATATAACAAATATATTAAATTAATGATAATATTATTCAAATATAACATATGTTACCATTTTATATGGGTAGTAAGAAAATATAGAAAGATATTTAATTTCTCTTTCCAATACCTTTTTGAGTCTCTTTCTTGGACTTCTTTACAATTCGACATAGCTTCAAATGTATTAGGGCACATCATTGGTGGAAGTGGTCCAGAACAATAATGGTATGGGTGATCTGGACCAACATCAGAAAATCGGTTAAGTAGGAAACAATGTCATTCTTCATCTACATAATAAAAATTACCTTCGTTGGTACCCAAGGAGCTTGCAAATAATTTCTATTTCTTGGACTTCTTGAATGGCCTAACAAACATTTTTCTTCATAAGAGAACGATAACAAAGTGATAGGGAGTTTGTTTAGCGTATGAATGAAGATATATGGCTATATTTCACGATTACAAATTCATTTTGTAGGTCTTTCACAAGAATACATATACATAGTTGATAAGATAGCGAAAACCACAAGTGTTACGTGAGCGTACTATTTGAAAAAAGTAAATCATTGCTAGCTCACACTTATTTGTCACGAGCTTAATGATTATTAGCTCATATTTTCAAACAAAAAAAAAAGTTTCTTAGTAGTGATAGGTGACACCATATATGTTCATTTTTATGAGTAACTCGAAATAAAATATTTTGAAAATCAGTGGACAATTAGTCACCATAATACCCGTAATGTTGTTTTTGTCTTCCATGTTTTCTGTACTTAGTTCTCATTAAATAATACTTTATATAACTAATTTGTCTAGCAATTGACGTTTAAAATTTATACAATACCTTAAATACAGTCATCTATGTAAGTATAAGTTCAAAGTTTTAGGTCTTCCACCTCATATTTTAACTGTACTACATCAATACAATATCAACACATTTCTCAAAAATGGTTCCCACTTGCAAATCAACTACTTTATATTTTAAAAAATATAATAATTGTTTTGTAATTAATAAGTAGTCAATAATATATTCAAAACTATTAGCATAATCATAAAATTAGTTTTGTTTATGTTTTGATTAAAAGTTTGAGCATTATTTTTGCTTCTTTTTTTTTTCAAAAAATATATCCACCTTTAACTTTTTTCCTATAAACATAACTAAAGTTTACTCAATTATGAATCACTAACGAATATAATTTATTAAATTCAATTGAATACTATATGGAGATAGTGAGATTAATTTGGTGATATAGTAGAAAGTGGGCCCCACAAACTAAGGTTGAAAGGTTTTCAAGTATTGAAAGGCCAAACTTTGATTGCACTGGCTTTGAAAGAGGCAATTTGGAAGTTCTTAAATCATATACTTTTTGATATAAGATGACATGGTAAAAACTAAAAAACACAAATAGTCCAAAAAACATGTGATGAACAGAGCATATTTGAGATAGCCTTTAGTATAAGTGATACAGCACAAGGTACAACCGCGACTTGCACTACGAATAGCATCTTGCTATGATTGTTTGATCCGTTATGACAAAGAATACGAATGTGATCCATGACATGTGATATTAAAATGAAGATTGATTGCCACATGCTTATGACAAGTCATTAGGTCCCAACTGGTACTACTTTCCAAATAAATGGGAGCTTATATGGATCAACAACTTTTTTTTAATTTAAAGGACATGTAATTATAATTATATTTACGAGGGAAAATGACTATTGAGGGTAACTATCTGTCGCTTTGTGTTTTTATTTAGTCTCTTTCTTTTTTTGTACTCAATATACCATCGAATTTGTTGTTTGTGTTCACCATAACACTTTTGATCGGCTTTTGACCTGTGATAGTCGGTTAAAAAGTTATGGTGAACAAAAACAACAAGTTCGATTGTATATTGAGTACAAAAAAAAATGAAATAGGTCAAATGAGAACAAACTCAACAGTTGGTTATCCTTCTGAGTCATTTTCCCCGAAAAGTTAAATGAAATTAAAGTTGCAAAATTATCAAAGACTGCAACCTTCTTTAGCCATAACGTATATGAAGAGCGTTTCAAAGGGGTAACTTTGTTAAAACATTGTCTATGTTATGCTTACTGTAGTTAGCTATCAACACCTCTCTGCAAAAGGATATGACTGTGTATGAGAGGTATATTTATCAGCATAAACATTTATCTTAAGGAATATTATGATGATGTGTCTGCAAAAGCTACATGATATTGTGCATATTAATGTTGTATCTTATCCCATGAATTCGATCTTAAAGCTAAGTAAACTCAAACATCACAGCACATGTGATTCCACTTGTTTGTATACTTGTTTAGGATACATGATACGATAAATCATTTGATTGGAAATGTAAATATAGTCATGAAATGCACCTGCTTAGTCAAGATTCCCCTAATAAATATTCAAGTGCATTACAGAGTTGTACATGTATGAATAATGTTCTTTCGTGAGTTATGTTTTGGAGAGAAGCAAGAATGAATCTCATAAAGTAATTAATATCAGCAAGAGATGACGTGGGATTTGCTGTAAATGAGTAAAGGGAAAATGAATCAGGAGGGTAACCAACTGTTGCATTTGTTCTCATCTGGTCCCTTTTTTTGGTACTCAATATACAAATGAACTTGTTGTTTGTGTTCACAATAACCCTTTGACCGGCTATCACAAATCAAAAGTCGGTCAAAAGGGTTATGGTAAACAGAAACAAAAGTTCGATGGTATATTAAGTACATAAAAAATGAAAGGGACCAAATAAAAATAAACGCAACAATTAGTTACCCTCAAGAGTTATTTTCCCTATTTATGAAAACG